TGAAAATTTGCTGCAGAACGCTGTATACCGTCACTGCTAGCTTTATATTAGAGGTTCAAAGGTTCATAATGATGGAAACAATAAATCAGTAGAAGATTGGTATTTAACGAGTCCTTGGAGATGCAAACTGTCAGCAGAATTACAGGTATAATTATTGATACATTATCAGAGCAGTAAATAATGCCTTAGTTCAGCAAAGTGACTAACTACATTATCTGGCTTACTGTATATATGTGAATGCACAGTTATTTTCTCAAATGCCAAAAAAATTGTGTTTTGAATAAATCCATTTATAGTAGTAACTTTTTTTTAAACAATTATTAAAGCACAATAAACTCAGCTACCATACTAAGATTATTAATTGCTTTCAAAATTATTTTGATATCAATTTAAATCATATATGCAGCTAACAAGCTTCATGTGTTGAAAATTGATGGAGAAGAGAGTCTTATGCTTTCACAACTATGCATGGCTTTATTCATTTCTGATTTCCAAATATATAAAAAGTAAATAATCCATTAGTGCATGATTATCAATTATTATTTACATTCAGGATATTACATTCCCATTTTCTATAACAAAAACAATTCTGAGGATAGAAAGAATACCAATAGGTCAGCTACTTTTGCATTCAGTGTATTATGCAAATAGTACTAAAGTTCAAAGGTCAGTGCAAGCTCACATTCTTAAACGTTTTTTTTTTAACATGCTAGCTTTGCCAGTAATCTATTGATAATTGCCAATTATCAACTACTTACTTTCAATTTAATTAAGTGTTAGTGCAGCACTAACCATCTAGGCTATGTATTTATGGTTACCATGGCAACTAATTCCTCTGCATCAACTATGGATACAACACTTACAAAGAAGCACAGTTTGAAAGCATGCATGCCTAGTTACCTTTTTTGTATGTAAAAGTGACTAGGTGTTAATGTATAGGATTCGTGATCAAAGCATATGCATCATGTAAGATAAAGCAGGAATTGAAAGAAGTAGAACGGAGATTGAGATCAGAGAATTATGTTGAAAGGCTAGACATCACAGTCACAGCCTACATAATTGCTTCTCATCCCAAAGGATCTTGTCATCTAGTTACACCATATACTATCAAAGAAATCTTCCTAACAAATTGTTTGACCTAAATTCATCAAGTTTACATTACATTACCAACCAAGTAGAGCTCCCAGTTATTCATGTGTAAATAGTATGCATGCAAAACCAGACACTATATTCAAAAACTGGTTATAAAAGATTTACCTTGAAATTAGTTTAAGGTATATTCCATGATTAAAAGAACCTATGAGCAAGGTTTTAAATACATGCAAGGCAAGACGTAATGACAGCAACCATTTATACCTATGTCTCAGCAATGAACCATGGCTTTTGATAGTGTACATGCCTTGCCACTACAATAATTGTCTATTGATCTAAAAGGGGAATCTTGTAGTGAATTCACTTTATAATAAATTACAATTTAAACTATGTCGACAATGGAGTTCAATGATTCTAGGACATGGATAGATAGCTTTGGACCCCTGGAAGGCTCCAATGGCTTTTATTTATCGGAGCTCAATCTGAATATGATATCTGAAAAATCAGTGTTCGTCTTTTGTACTAATATCATGTACTTGATTTCATTTTAAGTAATTGACCATAGATGCACCAGTATACAATTTAGACTAGACAAGCTAAATTTAACAATAAGGTATGCAACACCTTTCACATATAGTGGCACCCAATTAACCTGCAAATAAAACTTGAATGTTGACACTTTTTTGTTCAATTGCAATCATAAACAGATCATTTCTCTATTGTATACATGAATGAGATGTAGAAATTTAGAAATACCACAATGCACATACAAGTCTAGAGCCTCATTTATTAACAAAGCAATAGCTTGAAATTTACTTCCTTCAATTTTATTTTTCTTGCCAGCTCACTTGACCTACCCACTACTGAGTTGTCTTCTCCTTCAAGGCAGTTTAATCATGTTTTTCAAGACGCACGCAAAAACAGATTAATGCAAAGAAAACAAGCCATGTATGGTACAGTCCCAGTTAGTTATCAAATTTAAAATATATAGTTTTGTTTATAGTAATATAGTTGGAACATAAACATGTCAGAAGTATAGATCCAGAAAATGATGCTTGATTATGATTTTTTTCACATTAAAATGATTGACATCTTGCATCTGATCGTCAAATGAGTACATGTCCATATTGAGAAATATTGCTCTGGAACAGCATTAATTAAAACAATTTAGAATACATATACATATATCTTTAACATGATGTAAAATGAATATATAAAATTTGAACATAATCAGTCAAAGCGTATCAGAGATATGACGCTAAAAACGTATTCATTTAAAACAAAATGGTCGACAGTCAGGCATTTTGAATCTGATCTGAAAAATAAAATGATGTGCATCAAGGTCCCATAATGTCCAACGTACTGTATGTACCAAGTTTGAACAAAATTCATCCATAAATGCTTGAATTTGAATTTTAGTACAAAAATGGCCACCATTCGGCTATCTTGAATCAGACCGTGAAACAAATTGATGTGCACATGCATAATACATGTATTATGTAATTGTATGATGTATGTGTGAAGTTTGATTGTGATTGTGATTGGTCTAGTCATGTCTAACATACAGGTCTGAACAGACGCACGCACAAAGTTTAGTCAAAATTGGGGAGTAAAAATGCACTCTAAATGGAACACAGCAAACTAGTAACAATGTGGAAATTTTAAAAGCAAATGCTTGATGTTTTGCCAAGTGAAAGGTTAAATAAATAAATATGAATTGTTGGTATCCAAACTTGATTCCAGGAAAACAATGAGTTTATTAAATTTAGGGAAATTCCTGTCACAAAAGTGTGTTAGTCATGACCATAAAGTTGTATGGATCGCTGACAAAAATTTTATCCATTCAGTTTGGCTATCCGTGAAGGTTTTCAGCAGGCGGTGTGTTGAATACAGTTTAATGTAAAATACTTTATTTTCGCTGGAATTAATTTTCACTGAAAAGACTTTTTGGGTGTTTTGTATAGAATTTATTTTCACTGATTTTTGTTGAGTTGAATGAAAAATATAGGAAAAAGGGTATATTCAATGAATTTTATTCTCACTGAATCATTCCTTCAGCGAAAATTAATTCCACTAATTCCAGTACTGTGGAATACTTTATTTTCGCTGGAATTAATTTTCGCTGAAAAGACTTTTTGGGCGTTTTGTATGGAAATTATTTTCACTGATTTTTGTTGAGTTGAATGTAAAATATAGGAAAAAAGGTATATTCAATGGATTTTATTTTCACTGAATTATTCCTTTAGTAAAAATAGCGAAAATAAATTCCAAGCGAAAATAAAGTATTATACAGTATTTGAATTAAGTGTTGATAGTATGCAAGAGATTAGAGATGTTTAATAGTACACGTGTGGACATCGTGAAACAATTCACAAATCTCAATTGCAATTTATATTTTTCTACAGACTATATCTAAGTATAGGAGGCCATCCAGATTACTATGTTAAATATATGGTAATATTATTCAAATGACAACTCCCTGCAGCTTATACACAATCAATTATCAATGCATGGTACCCTGGCAAAGAACAATCCATTTCCTTTTGATGCAATATGTGGCATCAATTTCCGGGATGTAAATAGAATTTAACAACTGAAGCAACTAGCAAACTGTACACGTTTGCTGTGTATTATACAAATATTTTTTTGACAGTAATGAAGCAGTGTTGCTTTATTGACAATCACATTGCTGTGTATATTTCAAGTATCCAAGTCAATTTTCCCATTTGAGAAACCATTACAGTAATAAGCCTGATTGTGGGTAGGTGGAACTTAGAATATATACAAAGAGTATTGACAGGCATCAAATTTTGAAATCTGCAGTTTCCAATTTCAACAGCAAATACTATTTTCATAACTTATTCCGAAAAGACATGCAACATGGATATGTTACGCATGAAAATTTTACACTAATATTGATTCTACAGAATTGACCCATACCATAGGAATTTAAACTCTATAAGAGTGTACTGTTATTGACTATCACGTCATTGCATGCAGTTAAATTACCTCCTAAGCTGGCTCCAAGTTACATACATAAAAATTGATTTTCTCAATTTTGTCATGTATAAATACCCTGCACATCAATCCCCATGTACATTACACAGGAAACATCACTCTTTATGAAACAGCAACATCACCAAGATTTAAAACTATTTCCGTGGACACTGGTCATAATGGACTACTCACACTTACATTATTTTATACTTCAATTTCATTTTTATAATCATTTTTGTCCATTACACAAATTGCTGGAATCAGGAGCCTTAAGATTTCATTCTTTGCGTACTTAGGAAATTTTTTTTTTTAGTTAACATTTAGAAAGAGCATAGAGATTGCCGACTCAGCTACATCCTATGCATCTACCATAAATATATAGTACAGTTATCTAATTTATGCATACATTTTTTATAACCATGCAGCTGAATTCGTATTTACGTGCAGAACAATACAGAGAAATTTATTATGCAGCAGCACAGTCACTCTACTAGGACGGTTAGGAAGCGCCACGTAGTTCTATTATAACTACCCTTGTCTCCATAAATATTGAAACAAGCAGCCTCTTGGCTGAGATAGCTCCGCTGTTAGCAATGAACATTTCAATTAAAGAACAGAAGATATCATTAGAAAATGAACAATAAGTATAGTATCAAAGCAATTGGACTTACTGTTTTCAACAAGAATTCAAAAATATCATTTTTCACCATAAATGATTGTGGTTTTTAACAAGAAGAAAATATCACTTTTTACCAAAAATGACAAAAATATTCACCAAAATTAGAGAATTGAAGATATCATTACAAAATGAACAAATCTGAGAGAGGTCTACCCAAGGTACATATACACCAAGTATCAAAACATTCAGGCTTGTAGTTTTCAAGAAGAAGTCGAAAAAGTAAAACATTGACTCGGACGACGACGGATAATCACTCATATGATAAGCTCCGCTCGACAAAGTCGACAGCGGAGCTAACAAAAGAGGTGTTAACGAGCTAAGAAGTCATTAGCATAAAACTGGCGACGTAAAACACGCGATAAATCAGTGCGAGACAGTGCGAGAGTTGCGTCATTTTTTCCCACAAAGCATTACAATACATGGCACTTTACCCTTTCACCGAAGAGCAGTCTCAAACGCGGAAATAAACATACTTTGTATACGTTTTTTCCCCCGAGAAAATTTTGCTGTCTTGTATGGCATTCTGAAATTATTAATAGTTAATAGAATACTACATTAGTATATCACCCAAAAAATTCCAACACAAAAATTAACATCCGGGTATTTTACCCTGTCTCGCCTGAATCAAAAAGCAGTGCGAGCATGCTGAAATAAACCATTCATAAAATTGTCACAAAGCAAAGTCATGACAAAAAATATTCAAACGAAACTAAATATGACTCGTAGCACCGATACAGCTGAACGGGATTTGTATCAGTCGTCAAATAAAGCGAATGGAGGAATATGAAAACACAACAATCAAAAATCTCTTTCGTCCGATTACTTCCATTGAAAACCATGCAATAAAGCAACATGGCGACTACCTCCATAGACGACGAAAACATGCAAAATTTCGCCATAAAGTGACTATAAAATTGTTTTTAAACTGAGCGAGGGGTTTATTTTACGAACCGAAAGACTGTTAGAGATCGAGACAAAGAGACTGTCAATAAAACACCGGTTTTCTCGATAAAGCATCTTCAAGATTGCAAAAGAACGCTCATCTGTAAAATACAATATCACTCCTAGTCATAGTTCAGTTGAGATTGTAGTTTGATGTAAAAATAAAGCACAATTAAAAAAATTCACAGTCGCCTCGAGCAACATCGAACGCAATGAATAATGGAGAAAAACAGCGCCCTCCGATGACAATTACGTCATAGTTTTGAGACCAGCGTAAGTTCTCAGAAGCTGCTCGTTCACACCTTTTAACAATAGCGCTTCCTAAGCGTCCTAGTAGAGTGACTGTGGCAGCAGACAAGTAACTTGAGATTTGGGTTGGAGGAAATTGATGAATTTTAAGGTCACAAAGGTTAAAAATACTACTATTAGCACATATGCTTTTGCACATGACAGATGTTCTATGAAAAACATAAGTCACATTTGGATGATTGTGTATAGAATAAATGCAATTTTCAGTTTAGTGTGCTTCTATTAAAGAGATGCTACTAATACTGTAAAATATTTTATTTTAGCTGGAATTAATTTTTGCTGAATAGACTTTTTGGGCGTTTTGCTTGGAATTTATTTTCACTGATTTTTCATGAGTTTAATGTGGAATATTAAAAGGAAAAAAAGTATATTCGCTGGATTTTATTTTCACGGAATCATCCCTTCAGCGAAAATAGCGAAAATAAATTCCAAGCGAAAATAAAGTATTCTACAGTATTTGCTGGATTTTATTTTCACTGAATCATTCCTTCAGCCAAAATTAATTCCAAGCGAAAATAAAGTATTTTACAGTAGGAGCAAATATGTCTACCGGTACTTATTTCACCATTCAGTTGTTATTATAATATTTGTGTGATTTATTTTGCTTATGTACACTTGGAATCTTTATGTACTCATTGTACATCTCTTGTCTGCCTGTCTTCCTGCCAGCCAGCATGCCTGCCAACCCCCAAGTATGTTTCATTAGAAATTAGATTTACCGATGCCAATATACGGTGTAGTAAATATAGCAACAATTCCACTAGACTAAATAATAATAATAATAATTGTATGCTTTATTATTCCATAATAAAATAATAAAGCATCTATTATATATTAATTTAGTGTATGTGTGTCAGTTTCCATAGTTACCTGTCACAAAGAGTGAAGTGGGTGAACAACGTCACAATGTATATCTCAATAAAAGACTCATGAAGGAAATCACACCACCATTCTAGTACATGTACATTGTATTAACAATGAATGGTCAGATCAACTAACTTGTAATTAAGAAGGTTTAGAAAATATTTGCACGCACAGTCAACGCTCATAGATATGAATAGTGCTCATTGTAGGCAGAAATTGTTGTATCAAAAAACTAAGAGGAAGCTTTAATCCTTGGAATGTAGCCTTCAACTAATACATGCTATAGCTTTTGTGTGCACTTTTCACTATAATATAGTAATATAATATATAACTCATTTTGCAATTTTTACTCACCGTACAACAGCATATAAATACAATAAAAAATCCTTCCAGCACTCCGGCATTTCCCACAATCCACGGAAGACGCAAGAAAAGAATAACTCCCAGAATATTTTGTAAACACGGTAAATATACACCCATAATAGTCCCCATTTTGGTAGCCTGAAAAAAAAAGGGGGGGGGGTCAGATAAAAAAAAATTCAAATTGAAAATTATACCAAGCATCAAAAGCATTCAATTAAAAGTCTAAAAATAATCATATATTACAGGTCATCTTTTTATCTGAACTGTTGATGACAAAATCAATTGACATTCAATGAATAAGCTGTATAACAAGACTGCATTCTGAGATCAGTAAAGATTTCATGAATTTCATGACTTCATAGATTTGATGATTAAAGTTGGACGTGGCAAACACACTTTTTTTTCTGAGGATACAAACAGGATGGCAGTAATGCCACGATGGTCGGCTACGGCTACAGTCATTATCCTGACAGAGTACCATTTTCACTGTGCCATTGCTGACTTTTTAAATCAAAGTCAATGTTAAAGTCAAAGTCGCTGAAAACTTAAAACTTGTACTAAGTTGTATCACTCTTGGTGTAATAAAAGTTAGCATAATTGTACATTGTGAGTGTTAATTTCAGTTGGATATAATTATTCAAATTATTATGCAAATTGGTGTTTAAATATGGTTTAAATTTTTACATGATTTCAATTTGATGTATCTTGCACAAGAGTGAAACTAGAGCCAAGTGAAAAATTAATTCATTCACTGTATTTTCTTTTATTATTTGCAGCATTTCATAACTATAGAGAACAAGTAACGTCAATATTCTTAGACAGGGATTGCGTTAACCCCATATATTGCTTCCCGGACTCCAATAATTGAAGAGGGACCCAGTTTTTCAGGCAAGTTGGGGTCCAATCTCTAATAAAGTTAACCAGGGGCAAATTTCAATTTCTTAAAATTTTGTAAATGGGACTCATCTTGCTAAGACACTAGAGCAAACCCTGTTAGAATACGACAATTTAGATGCTTTTTTGCCTGAGGTAATTTCAAGGGGTCAGCAAGTCTGTTAAGCCAAATTACAATTGCAAACAACAACACACTTTGTCATTTCCACTTAAGTTATGTCTAGGATGGTTTCACAAAATGTTTATATAACTTAAGTATATCAGAATTTGTTTATATAAGACATCTTTGAAGGAAAGCAGCCATTGAGTTCTACTATGGAAATGTAATGAAATCACTTATTCTATACAGCAAACTCAACAATAGTAGTGTAGCAACCAGAGAAAAGTGTCTTTGATAAAATAAATTTCTGGCAAATAAATAATATTTAAAAAACATTTGTGAATAATGTAAAATCAACATAAAATTTTGTTATAAAAACAAAAATACTAAATAATACAGGTCAACAATATATCATACAGGGAATTATATATATATATATATCACTTTTTGTTGATTAATATGACCCCAGCAACCAGCAAATTAACTCCTGGATAGCAGAGAAAATTATTATGTGTACAAAGCATGAAGACAGCATACGATTGGTATTTGACAGTAAAAGCAATCACAAAAGCACTGAGGTTGGGAAGACATCTCTTTTTCTATGCTTAGTACATAAATCCCATTTGTTTAATTAGTTTACACTCAACTGGGCCCCTTCATTTTCTGTAAGAGAACAGTTCTATCCAATGGTATTGACCAGAGAACAGTTTATATATTCAGAAACCTACAACAAAAACAATGCAAACACACGATAAATTATCAGGAAAAAAAATCATGTATTTAACATTTTCAAATCAATGAATTGATCTCTGTGAGACAAATGAAAAAGTAATCTTAATTTGGCAGAGAGACCACCTTACTACAGTGAAAAAACATCAATATGTATGGAAAATTCAATGAGTGGCCATCGGCTTACAGCATGATCCATGTTGTTCGAGTTAGAAGATTATCATATAATTTCTATTATCCTGTAAACCAACGACCACAAGTTTGAGTTTGTGGCTTATACCATGATGAAATGATAATATGGAAAGATTCAGCAAGCAATTGCTTTGCTCACTGAAGTAAGAAAATGCGGTTAATTTTATACATAAATACAAAATATCTATTTTTTCCTCTATCATTTGTTCATTAAAACACAATGTATGGTATCGCCGTAATCCTCAATTTTTCATTGGCTATCCCGGCTGTCTTTGAACTCCTCATCAATTCCAGACGTGGTATAAGTTTGCAATAGTTTACTTGATATGTACAGATATGTAATAATAAATGCACATAAATACAATTTACACATCAGAAAAAGACAAAGATGTGTTGATTCACAGAAATGACACAGAATGATATAAAATATAACGTACCTTTTTTTGTTTTGTCTTTTTCTTAGAGGAAGGATCTTGTGTATCTTCATTGTCTGCAGGTCCTTGAGGTAAGGGATTGTAATTGACTAAACTACTAAGAAGTGTGGAAATCTTGGGACGTTGTATCATTTCATCCTACAGAATAAAACAAGTATACTAAAGTAACCATGACTACAATAACTGTCATTCATTTTTAGGCAATCATGTGTAAATGATATTTAATACAATGAGGTTATCATCGAATATCAATTGTTTGAAGAGCTGGTTGATATTGATGACATCATGGACTATTATCGTCTACTAACCAAAGATGAATGGATAATTCTAGCCAATAATGGTATTATTATCAATCAGTTTTATTAGTAAGTGATATCAGATGATGAACTTTTTATCACATGACCAATTTGACTTCCAAAAGGAAATTACAATTTTACATTACGACAAGGATGGTTTTCAATATTCAACAGAAATACCACCCTTCTTATTTATTCAGAATAGTTATTGCAATTGCATTGTGCAATAAAAACAATAATGCTCTATGATTTGTTTTTCTGCACAATGCATAAAATGTATCAGGGTAATAAACAACCAATATGATGCATTGTGGGTATTATTTTATCATGTATCAGGGTAGTGAACAACCAACTTGATGCATTGTGGGTATTATTTCATCATGTATCATGGTAGTAAACAACCAACAAGATGCACTGTGGGTATTATTTCATCATGTATCAGGGTAGTGAAAACCAACATGATGCATTGTGGGTATTATTTCATCATGTATCAGGGTAGTGAAGTATAGATATGATGCATTATGGTATTGTCATTTTGTAGTAGGGTAGAGAAAAAACAGCATGATGCATTGTGGGTATCATGACATCTTGTAACATTGAAATGAACTACTGAATCTTGTGCGTGCGTATTTATACATGTATGTTTGTAATTTGACTGGACTTGTATTAGGTTACTAAAAGGTTACTAAAATATTTCAATTTTTGCTGAGAAGTTAAAGATACATTTGTCTTCACGGCAGCATCTGTTCTTGAAACTGAATACCCTGAATAAAATCAGTGAGCTCAAGACAAAGACATTACCTCATATAGTGCCAGGTTCTTTTCTTCAACAGGTGCTGCACTGACACCTTTCTCCACCTCATTCAGCTGCATGAAGGGAGAGGTCTCACTACACTCACGGCCATTCTCACCTAAAAAAACACATAAAAATATACTTTTAAAACAGAAGTTCTCATGTTCAATTTCGTCCATGTTTACCTAAAGACACTAAAATCAAATGCTTTAAAAATGTAATTGCAACAGATTGAGAATGAAACAAGTCATTGAAAATGTCCCTGTTAAATGTTTAAAAGTTCTCTTTGTGCTTGTCATATTAAAGAGGAGGGGTTGTCGCGAGCATGTCCTTGAAACTTGAGTTCCAAGTGGCGTATACAACAGATTGTGTTCCTTGTAGTAGTATATCATGGACATGTATCCTAACATGTATAATCTATGTACCAAGTTTGAATGAAAACTGACAAAGCATGTCCAAAATACAACATTTTCAAAAAACAAGATGGCTGCCAGTCCGCCATTTTAAATCGAATCGCTAAACCACTGTGTGTGCATATGTCCCACATAAAGTACTAGGCACATGCAAAGAATGAACAGAATCAGTCCAAGGGATTCTGAGATATGACTCCGGACGGACGCACAGACGCATGGACGGAGACCGAATTATAAGTCCCCATTTTTGGACTTCGTCCGAACGAGGACTAATAATACATTTTGTTTAAGCATATGTAGTAAAAACTACAGTTACAGCTCTGTAATTTCAGAGTTTAGTGATCCCTGACCAGATTATCTAAGTAACTTAATTTCCTGTAATTTCCCATCTTAGCATTCAATTATATGTGTACAACTGCAAGCAAAATTCACAGGGGAGAGTTTGCAATACCATGGCAATGTAGTAAAACGAACGTACATGTATTTGTTGGAGTTGTAAAATAACAATAATATTGCCAAAACGCAATACCACAAAATGCAAGTGTCCATTATCTACTTGTGAGGATGTCATTACCCATTACAGCACTGACGTTAGAGGGATATAATGACTATGGAATAACATTATGGTGGTATATATAACAAATTATAATGATTTACTGCGATGTGACACCCAAATTTTTATCATGATTAATGAAAATTACCTGTAACAAAGCTATGATATAAGTACAATCAGTACTGTTTTATGATGCCCACGACGGTAATTATTTGGCAGAGAGTAGAAAAACTAGGAAACTTAGTAGATATCATTTATATATGCATTTATAGATACTAGTTGATTAATAAAGTAACAGTTTTATTCCAAGTCGTCTTAGATATATTGTAGAAGGAGTACATAACATTCAGATACTAACTTGGGCCCAAATTTTCAGTCTCTGCTAACTCATCGCCATTGCCAACGGTGAATTAGGCGATATGTTAGTCTGACAGAATGGATACATACAAAGGTTAAACAAACATCTACTGTGTGTCAACTAAAGAGTGGGTTTCACTTCTCTAAATCCAAGTCGGAATTGGCACTGTATCATTTGATATACTGTAAAATACTTTATTTTAGCTGGAATTAATTTTTGCTGAAAATACTTTCTGGGTGATTTGTATGGAATTTTTGATAAGTTGAATGTAAAATATAGGAAAAAGGTATATTCACTGGATGTTATTTTCATTGAATCATTCCTTCAGCGAAAATAGTAAAAATTAATTCCAAGCGAAAATAAAGTATTTTACAGTATATTGTTTGCAAATGCGACCCATATTTCCTAATTATTTGTTAATGTGTGACCCATAACTGGTTTCCGAACATGGTTGATTTCACTATTTTTACATACATGACGTACTGCATGATGTCGTCATGACATCATATCAGATCCCTTCAACTTCTAACACCATCACAGAAATAGGTAGTTAACTTGATATGTAAAAATAGATTTGTTTATGATTACTGAAACTACACATCCTGAACAAAACAGGAAATGTGCAGAACACACACACATCCTGTTTCTTTTTGTATCTCATCACCAATTGATTGTATCAAAATATATTTTGAATTTCAAACTAACCTATTTTGCTCGGTAGATCGTATGATATCTATACTACATAAATCATAAAATAATTAGAGTACATTCACACTGCGCTATTTTCAATCAAGATATGGTTCTACAATGTACACTGTTGTAAATGTACAGAAACATTAGTAATTTGACGTTCCTACTCACATTGTTTAGTAAGTTATTATTTTGGATGTTGATAACAGATTTCTGATCACTGACGATACCCCAGATCGTTCGTTCCAGTGTTAATGCTATTGCCCGCATGATACCTATACCATTGGGACGAATGTTCTGGGGTACAGAGAGTAATAAATACCTTATTCTTTGCTTCATTTTCATTTTGATCATTTAGACGACTATAAATATGCAAATTGAATCAAAAAAATATGTGAAAGATTGCGTTATTGACAAAAACAAGATTTGAAAACATGTTTTATTAGTCAATTTGTGTTATTTAAATGCAATACTCCCTTTTACGATACTTATTCAGTATTAACAATTGTCCAAGTTATTATTAATCGAGCGCATCAGGTCTGCAGATGGAAATTTAACTACATGTAGACTCTCATCTGGATCATTATATCGATAGTGAGACATGCATTCCATTGACCTAGGTGGTAAATCTAATCTAATGTATTCCATAGTTATCAGCTATGTATAAAAAATTCCTTGCATCAACAATTGATACAATATACATGTACATGCATATATAATTTTAACACTTTGAGTGTCCAAAATTCAGAGCAAATATTTTCACATTTTCATATTTTTTGAGACAAACTATTCATAATATCAACACATATCTTTTAATATTTGGCAGTTACATGTACTTGGTCAGATAAACAACAGTTTAGGTGTACGTTGTTCAAATTCAATGTTTGCCATTACCATACTCGACCACGTTAGCGCCCATGTCCGGTCAAGCACCCACCCCCAACTTTTGCACAACTTTTATATTTGGCATCACATTTGGCAAAGCGTCCACCTCTTAAATATGCCACTAATTTAAAACCTTGGTCTTTGATCATTACTTAACGAATACTGGTGATCGTTTTTATATGATACAGCGTGGATATCCACCACCATGAATAAAATGCGGTAAATATTTAATTTTTTTCCCAAATAGCCTAGAAGTATGTGTGTTTTATCATTACAGGGCGGTGGTTGTCTTGCAGCACAAGTTCAAATATCATGTAAAAAAACAATTGTGTATGTTGCTGTGAGTCCCATATCAAATATGATGCCACACAGCGACCATCACCCTTTAACCTTGATTTCTATTAAATACATTGAAAGAACTGTAATATGTAAAGTATTAACTATAATATTTTAATCAAATCTTTTCTCCTTTTTATATTATATTATGCAACGGTCTGGTAAATGTACAATAATCACTCCAGTGAACAGAATCTCAGAAACTCAACTTTACGCGAACGACAATGTTTTTAAATTTTTAATGTAAAATGATACAACGTGCTTGGCTGGTCATCATACTAAATATTACATTTCAAGAGTTATAAACAGATGCTGCCGCCACAGATGAATAATTTCTTAGCATATCAAATACTTATTACAACATAAATTGGACTGCAGGTACAGATGTTTACTTATTAATGTATGGAATGCATTGATGAATTAAAATTTCATTTTAAATACACTGAAGATTGAATTAATTAAAATTGGGATTAAATTGGTATGTCTGTATGGATACAGTAGAGCTGATTTAAGCCATGATTGTCAATTATTACGATTCCCAATGCTACGATACATTTAATAATGGAATACAAATACATATTGATTTATGCTTTCATATTAAACTCATGTCTGTTTTATTGTGAATAAAAAATTCATGTTTCAATGAAAATATTTTATTATTGTCATTTTTAAACCAACTCAAATGGTGTACTATTTCTAGCATACTGTGCAAATAAACTTATGGTTTATACATACGTTGTACAATATACGGTAATATCCAGTTTAGAGTCAGTTATTATATATTACTGGTAGTGTATATGTAATCAAGCAGCTTGTACAAACTGCCATTCAGAAAATGGTTACATGAACTTCTACAGGCTCAACTTAGCGGAAATAAACTACATGTATCTGAAAGCAGGTATGAGATTTCACATGACAGGTCTGTACAGCACTTATAAAAGGCAAGGTTTTATTTTTGCTCACTGCACTGATAGCTACAATGACTGTCACACAGACAAATTGAAACTCGGTAAATATGACATTTAGTTCAAAGAACTACATGTAAGGACGTTTTCTTTGCAAGCCAATGAATATCCATGCAACATACCAAATCAGCTAAAATTACACACGATTTTAAATCTGTGAAACCTGTGATCTGCACACGACACCAAAAAACTTCTCTTACAATACACACCCAATACCTGTAAACATGTTTTCAAACTCAAGTTAATTCCGGAATCCTGTTCACGCTAATCAAAAAGCAATTACCATCCAATCATTCATACAACCAGATTCCTGAGATTTAATCTTATTTTTAGGCATTCTGAAATAATCACAACTTAATATCTGATTTACATTTTGATTATATACATTGTGCCCCAGGGACCTTGACATTATCAAAAGTGTGAGTTTTAGTATTTGATTCTTCGTCCAACCAATTATTGCCTTACAGGTAACTATGGTTTATAATTTTTCAAAAAGTCACTATACTATACTATCCTGAGGCAGCACTTGATGGTATGTACATGTAAAAGCATACGTCCATCCCAAATCATGTATGTACACTGGAATATACATCAATGATTGCATAATCTGCATGTGCAGTGAAAAGGTCACTTGAATATAAAAGCCTAAAATGTATTTGACTCTCAGGCGATGTCAGCAGAAATTCCTCATTTTCCCCATCAGTCATCTAATCACTAGCACAGCACATTTTATCCAAATGCTTTGACACGTGTTTACATACCCTACTGCTAAGTGAAGGCAATTTTGACAGATTTAGAATTCAGGGTTTAACCTGTATTTGCTAGTCAACTAGTGAATACACTTATCATGGTAGCTGTTACCATGGTGATCGCAAACTGCAAATTGATTTTACAAGACATTTTCAAATTCCAGGACAAGAATATAGCAATCCAATGATACTACATGTACATGTACGTTAAATTTCTCACAATATTTGACTACAAAATGCCTGAAGTGAAGGGAATATTTTATTTATAAAGCTTTAGATAAATAAGTTCTACTTATATTTTGTATTAAACAACAACAAACAAACAGATGAGGTGATCAGTTTTTTAATTTACTGATTTCATGACTTATCACAGCTTTTGATAGCATTACATTTAGAGTGGGGGCACAAGGTTTCAGCAGAGTATGAAAGGGTGGGTGTTTCATACAATGTACTATCTGAGGCAGCATGCATTCAAGACCTGAAAAGAATGTTTGCCAGATGTTTCTTTTCTGTCCAATAACACTGTACAAGTTATTTCATTCAATTATAAATATCCCTGAGGACTAGGAAGTACAGTAAATGTCAAAACCAATTTCTATCAAGTACCTTTACATGGAACACCACATCTATCATCATCACCATATCACTATGGAAAGTAGGTACTGCAGAGGAGCCAAGTTAGTTGTTTTGAACTGGATCTTATCTACAATATCGACTTCCAAACCAAATTTACCCAGTAAATGCAATCATTATGTTTTGCTGGGTAAATCATTGAGCTTGTGAAAAAAAAATTTAGGCCACAACTCATATCACATACACGATACATAAAAATACCCATATAGCCTGTGGAAGGGTACAGGTATACAATTTTTGCACATTTTTATAGGGGAGGTATCCATTTAACCTGTCTGGAAAGGTAAATCCCTATCTATTTTTACATGTACGTGTAACAAGCTTTCTATCAAACACACACTGATTTTCTGATGTCTTGGAGTGAAATACAATTTCCTGGGAAATAAATTAAATGGCTTATGATATCGAATAACGCTTTCAAGACTTGGACTGCAAAGGACAGTGTTTCTGCTGCGTAACAAACAATGCAGGGACCTATTTCAATTTTACAAAAAAGCTTTCTCACACTATTAAGACATAGAAAAACAATTTGTCCCATTGTGACAATGTTACCAAAATGATTATATATGCGTTGTGCATGCAACAGATTTCAGTGTCAATTAGGTTGTAAGTGCTGAATTCAGACGAAACTCGTCATGCCAGGACATCAAATGGATGCTTGAAATACTCTGTGTGAAACGCCAGATGCTATTTACTCATTACTACATTATACTTGTATTTTTAGTCTTTTTTAATAGCTTTTATATACTCCATACATACACTAAATATTATGGTAACTACGTACGATGAGCAATAAAAATTTTCAAGACACCCAGCGCATAACAAGTCGGTCAGTGCAGTTAATGTGCGCTTTTAGCAAGATATTCTATTCACATACACTCACTCTATACCTTTAATACACTGTTCATACAGTATAGATGCATGATATTTTTATACAAGACATAAGAAATGACTACAATATCCAGTGTTGTATTTTGAGCTTTAAACATTGATTATCAACAAACTGAATAGTATTTGTACAGAACCAACAACTTCATTTTTTATAGCATGTCTGAGTAGACAGTGTAATGCAGCAAGCCGTAAAGTGGAAATGAAGGAAAGCATTGTGTACAACAATATAGCACTGTGTACTGGGATGGGCATTATTATTTAGAGAGAACAGTGTGGTTCCTGTCCTGAATAAGTCTGCATATTTTGTCTTTAGACTACATGTACTTTTTTTGTAAGAGACTACATGTAACTGAACATAAAATTGGATTACTACTGAGAATAAATAAAATCATAAAATAATGCTATTACCTACATGTAGAGGTTGCTGAGATGGCAAGAGGTGTTAAAGACAAGGATAGGGGTGAGACCCAGATTAAATTGTCCATGTAACTTCTATGACTAAATATTTAACAAATATGTTTATGGTTAGACTTGCATACAGTCCCTTGTTTGTTTTTTTGTATGGTAACCTGATTTTCGCGGAAACTTGGCTTATGCCATTTACACTAACACAACATTTTATTTTATTGAGGAAACAGAAACAACAAATAAACAAAGAACTGTATGCAAGTCTAGCTTATGGTTTAAATTTCTACGAAAAATAAAAGACAAATTAAAAGTGCACACACTACAGACATTAGGATCACCACGTGGTAAAGATAATAAAACAGGTGGGACAATAACTACCATAAACTTATTTAGATAGCATTTTTGCTAAAAAAAGTTTTTCTCGAGTAATTCTAACTTTTAGGAAATTGCCACAGCCCACTTTCAGAATCCACCTTGACGTTAATGTTAATTAACAATCAAAGAAAGCTTAGAAAGAACTCCCATGTGCTGAGAGTATTGGAGACACATTAAATATAATTCGAAATTACTTCGCTGAAAAAACTAATGAGGTCTGCGCAATGCAACAGAAAATCTATATACCAAGTCTAAATGTGATTAGAACCAAAAAATTATGAATTATTATGCTAATTAGGGAATTAATATGAACAGATTTTTACCCCAAACTAATTAGATTTGTACATTGTCAGAGAGCATCTTTGTACTAAGTTTCATTGAAATGGAATAATTAGTACTTTAGATATCAGTGTGAAAGCTTAAAATTGGTTAATTATGCAAATTAGGTAATTAATATGTACAGATTTTAACCCACAATTATCCAGGTCTATGAACATTCATTGATATGTGATGATTAGTACCTGAGATATCAGTGTGAAAGTTGGAAATTGGTTAATTATGCAAATTAGGTGATTAATATGCACAAATATTTACCGAAAACTAATTGGGTCTCTGCATAATTCTAGATTCATTGAAATGTGGATTAGTACTTTAGATATCAGTAGAAAAGCTGAAAAACTATATGTATTTGTATTTATATGTACTGATATTACCATAAAACTATCAGGTCTGTGCAGTGTCATATGACATCTATGTACCAAGTTTCATTGAAATGTGATGATTAGTACTTGA